TCTTTCTTTCTTTCTTTCCTTCTTTCTTTCCTTCTTTCTTTCTTTCTTTCCTTCTTTCTTTCTTTTCTTTCCTTCCTTCCTTCCTTCCTTCTTTCTTTCTTTCTTTCTTCCTTTCTTTCTTCTTTCTTCCTTCCTTCCTTCCTTCCTTCCTTCCTTTCCTTTCCTTCTTTTTCTCCCCAAATCCCCCTAATACATAGTTGTATATTTTAGTGTAGGTCCTTCTGGCTGTGGCACGTGGGACGCTGCCTCAGTGTGGCCTGATGAGCGGTGCCATGTCTGTGCCCCGGATCCGAACTGGCGAAACCCTGGGCTGCTGAAGCGGAGCGCGCAAACTTAACCACTCGGCCATGGGGCTGGTCCCTTTTTTTTTTAAAGGTATGCTTTTTTTTGGTGAGGAAGATTGGCCCTGAGCGGACATCTGTTGCCAATCTTCCTCTTTTTTTTTTCCCCCTTTCCAAAGCCCCAGTATATAGTTGTATATTCTAGTTGTAAGTCCTTTGGTTCTTCTATGCAGGATACCGCCATAGCATGGTTTGATGAGCAGTGCGTGTCTACTCCCAGGATCCAAACCTGCAAACCCCTGGCCACTGAAGTAGAGCACGCAAACTTAATCACTATGCCACCAGGCCGACCCCAGTTGAGTAACATTTTGTGGGTCAGTTTGAGACTGGAATCACCATCGTAACACTGCTTTGCTGGGAAAATCTGTTTCAAAATTCAGCAACCTGTTCACAAATAACCTAAGTTCACTGCAGACAGAGACTACATCTAATTAATTGTTGGGATCCAAAGACTTTGTGGACTTTCTCTGTGGGTTGGGTGGTCTCACACCATAACTGGGCTTCTCCACTAAAGCATGTGTCCAGTTTCCATGTTCGGCTCCACTGAAGTCCAGCTGGGTATACTTATTCAGTTCTGATGCTAACCACCTGGAGTTGGCACCTGACTCCACAGGTTTGGGAGCTTAGCCCCTGTGAAATTGTGATGTAACAAAAAATAAATATTTGATCTTTGTCCTGGTTCCTGGTCTAAAAGCTTCTAAAACCCTTGGCATTCCCTGCATATTAGGGGTGAGAGAAATGTTTCTTGTTATTCATTATAAGCTCCTTTCAACCATACCTGAGTTTATACTAATGAGGTGACTCTTGGTGGGCCCCTAGACAGCTTCAGAGGGGAGCTGGTTGCCAGAGGAACCAACCATGTGATTACAGGGTAGGAACTTTCAGCTCCACTCCACCCCCCATCTCTGGGGAGGGGAGAGGGACTGGAGATCAAGTTAATCATCAACAGCCAGTGATTTAATCAATCATGCCAGTGTAATGGAACTTCCATAAAAACCCCTAAACTATGGCATCTGGAGTGCTTCTTGGTTGGTGAATATATCCATGTGTCAGGAGGAAGGCACACTCCAGCTCCACTGGGACAGGAGCTCCTGTGCTGAGGACCCTTCCAGACCTAGCCTTATGTGGCTCTTTATCTGGTTGTTCATCTGTGTCCTCTATTATACCGTTTACAGTAAACCAGTAAATGTAAGTAAAGTGTTCCCCTGAGTTCCGTGAGCCATTATAGCAAATTATTAAACCTGAAGAGGGAGTTGTGTTCAGTTTATAGCCGATTGGTCAGAAGCACAGGTGACAATCTGGGCTTGTGACTGGCATCTGAAGTGGGGGAAGAGGGAGCAGTCTTGTGGCACTGAGCCTTTAACTTGTGGGATCTGATGCTAACTCCTCAGATAGTTAGTGTCAGAAATGAATTAAATTATAGGATAGCCAGCTAACGTCTGAAGAGTTGGAGGACTGGTTGTTGGTGTGAGGAAAACTTCTACACATTTATTGTCAGAAGTGAATTGCCGTGAGTAAAAAACTAGATCTTACGGGTCTCCAACAAGACTGCCCTCACTTCAATTGCCAGCCACACTTTGGGGGTCCCCAGGCCAAGCATAATTCTGACTAACTGGCTATAAATTCAGGCTTTCCCATGTCTCCCTCAAGGTTGATAATTCACTAGAAAGACCCACAGCACTCAGGAAAGTGCTATACTTAAAATTACAGGGGCCGGCCGGGTGGAGCAACAGTTAAGTTCGCACGTTCTGCTTGGGCGGCCCGGGGTTCGCCGGTTCGGATCCTGGGTGCGGACATGGCACTGCTTGGCAAGCCATGCTGTGGCAGGCATCCCACACATAAAGTACAGGGAGATGGGCACGGATGTTAGCTCAGGGTCAGTTTTCCTTAGCAAAAAGAGGAGGATTGGCAGCAGATGTTAGGGCAGGGCTAATCTTCCTCAAAAAAAAGGTATAAAATTCCAGCTTTATTATTAAAGGATACAGATCAGGAATAGCCAAATGATGAGACATACAGGCTGTAGTCCGAGGGGCAACACAGAGCTTTTGTGCCTTCTCCCTGCGGAGTCAGGGTGTATCATGCTCCTGGCACAACAATATGTTCACCAACCAGGAAGCTCCCTCGAGCCTAGGTACCCATTTTTTATTGGGGTTTCTTTACCTTGGGCATGATTAATTAAATCATTGGTCACATGGTTGAGCTCAATATCCAGACCCCTCGTTGCCCAGAGGTGGAAAGATTGAATCCTCTAAGGACTTGCTTGGTCTTTTTAGTGACCAGCCCACCATTCTGAAGCTACCTAGGAGTCACCTCATTAGCATGACAAAGATACTCCTATCACTCAGGAAATTTCAAGGTTTTTTTGAAGCTCTGTGCCAGGAACTAGGGACCAAAAACCAGATATATTCTTTATTATACCACAGCATGGATCATACTCATTGTCACTACCTTTGTGCCTGTCTCCCTGGTAAGCTCTGGGAAGGCAGGCACTGGTTCTGTTGTTTGCCATTGAAGCGCCAGAATCTTATCTGGGGGCTGTCACATAGGGTGCGCGCTCTGTACCTTTACTGAGGAAATCAGTGAGGCTGGAGCTGAAGTAGTTTGGACTTAAGGTATTGGTTACGCTGTATTCAAAAATAACTCTTTATAGCCAAAATGTCTATCAACAGGGAACTGGTTGAATAAATCATGGTACTGATACTAACCCTCTTAATCTCAAGTTCGTGTGCCTGATGTGCAGTGAGCCAATCACTGAGACATTGGAGCTTGGAGATGGAGAAAGGTTTAGTCAAATTGGCCAAAACGAGATGGTGGGAGGATAGGTTCTTTCAAATCCGCCTTAACAAGAGAAGAAAGCAGGGCATTTTATAGAGCTAAAGGGTTTGGCAGGAGGAGTTTCAGAGAAACAAAGGGGTAATTTGTGTTTCTTTCACTCCTGATAAGCCCTGGACAATCTGACTTCTGAGCGTCAGTGGCAGTTTGGGGCTGGTGATGTGGTGATCCTTGAAGGCATTCTTTTTCTTCTGTAAAACAAGCTCATGGGGTCAACCCAGTGGTGCAGCGGTCAAGTTTGTGTGCTCTATTTCAGCAGCCTGGGGTTTGCCGGTTTGGATCCTGGACATGGACCTTACGCACTGCTTACTAAGCCATGCTGTGGCAGCTGTCCCACATACGAAATAAAGGAAGACAGGCACAGATGTTAGCTCAGGGCTGATCTTCCTCAAAATAAAAAAAAATAAAAAATAAAACAAGCTCATAAATCCTTGTGATCCTTGAGTCCTCCCCAGGTTAAACAAGAAAACTGCAAATTGACAAGATCATTTCTTTACAGAACAAGGTGGGAAGGTAATCTTACAGAATATTTACAGTAACCCTCAGGTACCCTTTTCAGTACATTCACACAACAGAATTACTATTGAAAAGGAATGACAATGCCCTGGATAGATGTGCTTATAAAGGATCTCCAAGATAGATTACGTCAAGAAAAGTCAAGGTGTAAAACAATATTGAATGGTCTGTTCTCTTTAACATACAATGTAAAGTATTTAAATCTTAAGTGACAGCTTAGTGCCTATTTACTAATTAATACATCCGTGTTTACCACTTTGCAGATCAAGATATAGAACATTTCCAGGACTTGGAATTCTTTCTTATATTCCCTTACATTCCATATCCTCCAAATGGAACCATTATTCTGACTTCTCTCACCTTAGATTAATTTTGTCTATTTTTGAACTTTATATCTTTGGAATCACTCAGAATATACTGCAGATTTAAACAAAATATTCTATTCTGCTACAAATAATGATTTATAATCTGTTCTTCCTACTTAGCACTGCATCGTGAACATTTTGAAATTATAATCTGTAGTAAAATTATGATTTTAAATTGTACTGTAAATAGTATGTTCTCAGTTATAGTTAAATATTTATTTATTTTTTTTTTAGAGATTGGCACCTGAACTAACATCTGTTTCCAACCTTCTTTTTCTCTTCTTCTCCCCAAAGCCCTGCAGTACATAGTTGTATATTCTAGTTGTAGGTCTTTCTGGCTGTGCTATGTGGGACGCAACCTCAGCATGGCTTGATGAGCGGTGCCATGTCCGTGCCCAGAATCCGAATGGTGAAACCCTCGGCCACCAAAGCAGAGTTGGAACACAACCACTTGGCCTTATTCTGTTTTTTTTTTTTTTTTTTATGCAAGAGGGAAGAGGAGTTCAGAGAATCCATATAGACAGCACGTGGAAAAACTGGGACTCCAACCTGCCTCTGAGGTGCTCATTCTTCCACTGCAAAAAGCAAAGTGCTCAAATATGGGCAGAGCCTTGCAGATGTCTAGCATGAGGTCATTATAATAGCAACAAGAATGACTAATAAGTATTAACGGCTCATGACAAGAGAACAAATGCCATTATCTTAATACATTAGGTATATTAGTAATGTTTGTACCGTATTATTCATGAAAATATTATTAACCTGTGTCACGGGCAGTTAGTTGCTAGGCCCAGAACAAGGATCACAACTCAGGTCTCTCCGCCCCTCCTTCCAGATGTGCAGGGGCTGGGACTTTCAGGGACACGCCCCCGTGTAGCTCTGAGGAGCCAATCGACACGCAGGAGGCGGGGCCCTGGGAGCGACAGCGGCGCTGTCCAATGGGCCGACAGCCGGGGCTGCCCGTGGCCAATGGGCGTGCTCCTCCGCGACGGTCGGAAGTGGTGAGGCGGCCCTGGGGGCCGTTGTTCTCTGTGGGGGCCGACTGAGGAGGCTGGGTGTCCGTGGCTGGCGGCTGGGCTCGACGTCCGTCTTCTCGTCGCGGGTGAGTGTCGCGGCGGCCCGCGCCCGGGGAGCCTCCTGCGGCCTCGGCTTCGGGAGGCGGCCGGCGCCCCGCGGACCGGGATGTGCGCGAGGGGGCTCTGGGCGGGGGGTCGCGGCCGTAAGGGGAAGGATGCCCTCCCGTCTCCTCCGGCCAGTGGGGAGGCCGCGCTTTCTCTTCAGGAGCCGGAGCCTCACTCCCCGGCGGCGCCGCCCCTTCGCGGCCTGGGCCCGGGCGGCTGGGGAGCGGGCGTCGGCCGGAGCGCGGCGGAGGGCACCGCGCCCGGGCGAGCTGGGCCCGGCCTCGAGCTGCCGGCGTGCGCTCGCGGCGGCCTGGTGCGGGCTCTGAGCCGGCGACGCGGGTTCGAGTCCCCTTCGGAGCCGCCGTGCGGCGGTAACTGTCTCCCCGGACTTCGGCTTGCGCGGTCTCTAAAGTGGGGATGATGACCGCTCCTCCCAGGCTTGTGGGCTGGCTTAGGAGACTGTCCGTGCGAGGCGTTTGGCGATCGATAGCGCCCGGGAAACGTTAACTGCTGCTATCCGCAAAGCCGCTGCCCTTGCGCTCCGCGTCCCCGCCTCCCGGCCGCGCGGGGGAGGGGCGGTTGGGAACGGCTTCCCGGGTCTGGACCCCGGGGTGGGGGAGTCCTGCCCACTTAGGCAGAGGGGCGGCCGCGGGGTCCGCGAGGGGGGCTCGGTCCAAGGTTGAATTGCTGTTCCGAGGCACCTCCGTGCCTTCGCTCAGGGGCCTCTCGCGGCGACCCTCGCGTGGGGAATTTAACCCCAGGGAGCTTAAATCGCGCGTCTGCTGAGCGCCAGAGCCTGAGTGGGACCCTCAAATGGGCCGCCCGCAATCCCCTTGCAGCTGGAAAACTGGGCACCTCCCTCGTGCGAGGTTCTGGCCGGGATCGATCACGCCAGGAGGCAGTCGGACACCCTGAGAAACGTGATTTGTTTGCACAGATAGGTGCTTCCTGTCCCTGGTTTACATTCATGTCGGAGTGGAGATCTTGAGTCACGTCATTGCCTAGTTTAAAACCCTTCTATGCTTGACCGTTGGACTTGGAATATAGTCCAATATCCTTTGTGTCCTACACGATAAGCCCTTCTCGAGTCATTACCCCTTTTCATCATGCTCTTCCAGATCTGCTTTGACTTTCGTTGCCTTCCAGGCCTACTGCCTGAGTGGATTTTCCCCCACTTCTGCCTTCTTGACACGGCTGGTTCTTGGCACTTCCGGTCTTAGTTGAAGTGTCATCTCAGAAGGTTCTTCCCTCCTCACCACCTTTGTCTAAAGTCCCCTCCACACCATCTGTCTGTGGACCTTTCCATCAAAGTACTCACCTTAGGGTGTATCTATTTCTTTGCTTACTTTTTTCTGTACTATATTAGATCAGATGCTATATTTCTGTAGTTTGTGAAGTATTCTTAGTGCCAGGGCACAGTGTCTGGCATACAGGGTCTTAATTAACATGTCGAATGAATGAATATGTGTTTTGAAAAGTGAGTTAGTTTGGAAATGTCAAAACCATTAAAGAGCCCTATAAAGGAATAATCTAAAGTAAATATTGGTAATAAAGTTGCCAGCATTCTGCTTTCAGCCTTGACATCTTGTTTAAAAAGAAGGGAAAACTTTACAGTGGAGAAACCTGGCAGACACTCTATCAACTAAGTGATCAAAGTTAAGATCACCTGTAAAAATAAGACTGCTGCCATCATGTGCCTTCTGACATAATGCACCGAGATGAGCACAACATCGCTTCTGTGGTATTCTTGCCAAAAATGTGTTAATTGTGAGAAAACATCAAACCCAAACTGAAGGACATTCTACAAAATAACTAGCCAGTACACTTAACAAGGTTATGAAAAACTGAAGAAATATCCCATATCAAAAAAGATTAAGGACAAATAACTAAATTCAATATGTGACTCTGGATTGGATCCTGAACCAGAAAAAGGATATTAGTGGAATGATTTGTGAAATTTGAATAAGATCCGTAGATTAATTACCATATTTGATAATTTTACTGTGGTTATTTATGATGTATTGGGTGAGGGGTGTATGGGAGTTCCCTGTGCTGTTTTTACAAGCCAGATTATTTTAAAGTGAAAATTAAAAAATAATAAAAAGTGAAACCCAAGTCTGTTGGGTATTAAAACGCTTTAACACACTAGTTTCAATGGCGTTTTCTGTGCACTGGTTTTTTTGTTTGTGTGTTTTGCATGTCATCCTTAAAGCAGAAATGAAATTGAAAGTTAACACTTCTTCCTTTGTAGTTTTCAGGAAGAGCTAAAGATGGCTGAATTTCTAGAAGACCAGAGCACTCAGCTGTGTGACAACTGGTGAGAAATTTAAGAAATGTTGTTGGAATGAGGACAAACTAGCTTCTCTAAAGTGTTTATTTATTGGCAGGTTAAAATTGGAGCCATAGAATATGTCGTGCAAATAGATGGGACGAAAGCCTTTTTAACAATTTGGATGAAGTTGCCTGTTTTGGTAACCTGACAGGATGGTTGGTTTAGGTAGCATAGAGTAGTGACTAGAGTGATGGGATAAAGCTGGGAGGTGGGGGCTCTGGTTCCTGCCTTTAATTAGTGACTTTTTGCAAGTCACTTAACTGCTTTGGAGCCTCACTTTTCTGACCTATAAACAAGGAAATTTATTTTCTGTCTTTCTGAAAAATATCATCATACATTTTTTAAAAGATACTAAAAATATAATAAAATATTTGGACTAAATCAGTGTTTTTCAAAGTGTGTTGCAAGGATATCCCTGAGTGGCTACAGTGGCTGTCTTTGAGTTTTGGGAGCATGGTTTAGTGAGCTTGGCTCTCCCATCTAGTAGTGAGAGAGCAGTTCAACCAGAGCAGCTCAGCTGTTTTTATAAAGGATTTTGCTAAAGGAATGTTCCAGTGCTTTAAAAAAAAAAGTCAAAGTCTTCCGGCAGTCCAGCTTAATCATTGTCATTTCATGATTCCAGGACTGTTAGTGAAGCCTGGGTGCAGTCTTGAATGTTAAGCTTTCTATTTTGGTGTTTTTAACCTATGTGAGTGACAAGAAAGAGCAACTCTTTCTTGCTGAAGTGAAACTTAGAAGTGCAGCTAATAATCAGCTGACTCCTGCTTGGGATTTCCTCAGGAGCTTGGTATTTTAGTGATACACAAGTGTTCTTACTGAAAGCTAAAGAAAAAGCAACACAGAACTGTCTGCTACGTTTAAGTTAGCAAATTGTGGTAGAAGGAAAGAGATGTCAAATAAGGAAAATAAGTTTGATGCAGATTGGTGAAAGGCTCAAGCCAGGTAGCGATTTTTCCTTTTTTATTGCCTTTTTCTTTCTGCTCAGACTTTGGGCAGAATCAGGATATAATCAGAGCAACTGCTGGTTACAATATTCTTTCCCTGCATAGAATTAAGATTTCATTTCTGTCAGGGTGTCTTGCCTTATAGGATATTTTTTCCTACTATGCCACTATCACTTTCTGCCATTTAAAAAACTATTTTAGCTTTGTTTGAGTTTTATATGTACTGTTGCTGATACAAAGTAATCAATGATACAAATAACCACAAGAGAAAAATTATTATGATTTTGTTAGAAAACAGGCATCTTGGCTTTAGTGTCAGTTAAGATACTCTTATTTTTCTCAGTGTACTCCAATTTGAAGGAATCTCAATCCTAGGACAGTATGTAAATAACAGTGCTAAGGGAGTTAAAAAAACAAAAAGGGTAAGTTAATAGAAAGCTAATGAAAACAAAGTACTCAGAGCCAAAGCAATTTATTTAAAGAGAAAAGCAGATTAACATGGAAGGCTGACTGGGCCTTCACAGACCCCTCATCTGAGTAAGCCTGTTTAAATTCCAGTTTTTAAATTTTTGTCTTTAGAGCCATGTTGTTGTTCCTTAAGAAAAGTTAGGATACTCTTCAAAATATGGGCTGTGGTTGGACCCACTGGGCCGGTAAAAAAACCCGTTTTTTTGTGATTAAAGATGTTTGCATATTATCTCTTAGGGATCACTGATTGTGGGGAGAGCTCAGTTCTAGGTTACAGAAGCTTCAGTGTTAGAAGGTTCAACTTTTTATTTTTGCATGTATTAAAGAATTGGTTTCTGGCTCATTGTGTTTAGTGTTTGGAGAGCTACTGAGGGTTTCTGGAAGGCTTGGCTTGCCTTTCAATCATTTCTATCTAAAATGAAATTTCATCTTTAACTTGCTAGTCCTTCCTTGGTGCTTTTAGCAGTTTTATCTAGATATGGGATTGTATTCTCGTTTATCTCACTTAAAATATCTTGGTTTTATCTGTAGGTGGGAAGTGAGTATACTGATATTTTGTCCAATTGGAATGTTTGGTGGGACTATCTCAGCAGTTAAATTTTAAAAAAACAAAATCAGCAGGCAACTGTTTCATGTGATTATTGCAAATATTTTATCTTTCTCTTTCAAGATTTCCTAAGAGGGGAGAATGTGTAACAGTAGATGCTTTGTGGTTCCTGACAGCTGCTTTTGATTCTTGCTTGTTTATGTGGTCCTTAATATTTTTTGTTATCATTCTAAAATTTTAGTTGCCTTGTGTATATAAAATGCTCTATGTCAATAGGTTATCCTGAATAGCCCTCTAAAATAAAAACTGTAAACATTTTATTATTATTATTTTTTGCTGTTAAAATTACTGTCAAAATTATGAAAAAAGAACCTAGAATCTCTGCATCCTAAGCAGTAATTACTGGCTTTAATTTTTTGTGGCATTTGTGCACATATGATTTATAATCATGATATAGCTTGCTTCTTTTAATTTGTTGGTGTACCATATTTGGCTTAGCTGTTGCTGTTTCCTTATTATTTAAACATTTTAATGATTTTCATTTTTTTACCATTTTATGACACTAATGAGAATCTTCATCATCCCGAGAGTGGGATTACTAGGTTAAAGAATGTATAATTTTATGGTCCTAGAAGCAAATTTTCAGGCTATTTTTTTCCTGAGGAAGATTACCCCTGAGCTAACGTGTGCCAATCTTCCTCTGTTTTTTAGTATGTGGGCCATGAGCACAGCATGGCCACCAGCAGAGTGGTGTAGGTCTGTGCCTGAGAACCGAACCCAGGCTGCTGAAGTGGAGAGTGCTGAACTTAACCACTAGGCCACTGGGGCTGGCCCATTCAAGCTATTTTTAAGCAGTTTACACTACCACTAGTAATGTATTGGAGTGCTTAGTTTCACAACATCCTTAATAGTGGGATTTACTAATTTTAATTTTTGTTAAGTTAATAGATTTAGATGATAACTTTGATTTATGGCTCCTTCCACTATCTATTTTAATATTCTACAGTTAAAAAAAATTACACTGAATTGGTTTTGAAGAAATAGGGGAAGTTAAATGCGTCAAGACATTGGTGGTTTCCCTCCTTATCCTTTTGAGTTTTCTTCCCGTCTATCAGAGTTGATTGTTCTTCTGTGTCACCTTCCAGTTTTTCTGTGGGAGGTGCCTTGATAGTTCGACCATTGGATGAAAATGAATTTACATTTATCTGGTGTCTTGGTCTTTCAGATTGGGGGTATGACTATGGCTGGAGGCAGATCAGTCATCTTGCTTTGAAATGTTTTGTAGACTATGTAGATTAAAACTATAAAAGACAGACTTATAAGAGCTTATGGATTAGATATTCACCAAAGAGAAATAATGGAGAGTAAAGATGGGACAGGACAGATTGCCGTTTTACCACTGTGCATGGATCAGTCAGTAACGCTTTCCTTTTTCTTTGATCTATTTCCATAGCAAAAAAGATATTCCTGTGATTAACTTTACCATCCATGAGCTCCACTGCCGAAGGAACATTGGTATGTGTCCTGTCTGCAAGGAACCATTTCCCAAATCTGACATGGAGACTCACATGGCCACAGAACACTGTCAGGTGAGCCACCAAGTACTCAAGTGTTCATAAATGTGTTACACTTGCTGTTGTGCAAGAGCAAGTGAGCATGTTGTCGCAAAGCCAATTTATATTCTTCTTACCCTAGGTCACCTGCAAATGTAATAAGAAGTTGGAGAAGAGGCAGTTAAAGAAGCATGAGGTTAGTCTTGCTGTCCTGTGAATGGAGTGAGTTACATGACGCCTGTCCTCCTGAGGTTACACAGCCGCATGCAGAGCAGAAGCCAGTCTGGTTGAGTTTTTGTTCTCCACCAACTCCGTGCACATGCCTCTTGAAGCCTCTCTGATGCTTGGGCTGTTTGCTGCCAGATCCGGCTGCATGGCTCTTGTGCCCATGCTCGCCTCAGAGCCTTTACCTTTGAAACTGTGTCTGTCATTTCTGCTGGGGTTTGGCTATTGGCAGCCTAACTGAGTGCTGAGCTAAGCCTGGTGTGGTCAGTGTGGGATGGCCTCTTTAGCACACAGCCTACCTTACATCTTGTAATTTCATTTTGACTTCTTGATCACTTGGATAACACGCTGTTTACACCCAAAGAAATTCTTCAGAGAGCATTTGGTGAGAGAGAACATAGTAGCGTTTGGTTCCTAGTTGAGATAAAACTGGCCGTAATTGAATGGGCGTAATTTTTTTGAATGGGCATAATTCATCAGTTAAAAAAATCCCAAGAACAATTTAGTTGGTCGTCACACAAGAGTGTGCATATGAATGTAAAAATAATTTATAATTTCAAAAGATAATTTGTATTCAATGTAGGAAATTTAGAAAATGTAAAAAGAAAACAAGAACCACTTATAACCCCACAGCTCAAAGATAAATGTCTCATTAATACTTCAGCACTCTTACTTTCATGATTTTTTCTGAGCATTTGGCTTGTGTTTCACTAGGCCTCACCAGCAAGACGGGGTGGGGAGTCAGGGGTGGGGGCTGGGTTGTGATTGAGGTCACATTAACAACGGTAATGAGTATTTCTCTGGCTCTAACATCTACCTGCTGCATAAAACAACCTCTAATCAATTGCCCCCTCTTCTAGCTTCTCTCCCAGCTGTTTCTGGGACTCACATGGTGACACATCAGTCATTATAAAAGTACAAGTACAAAGTATTTCCTAACATTCCTGCAAGTCAGACTGTGACAAGTGGTAGACCGGAGATTAACTAAAGAGTTTTAAAAACTTCTCCTTTAAAAAAAAAGAATTATACTTTATTTGCTGTTCTGGTGAGTTACTAGCACTTTTTAGGGTTGTTAACAAAGTACTTACTATATTATCTGGTATGTGCCAGCATTATTTGCTCTTTTGCTGTTGAGTAACTTAAATCAGTGGCTTTTTTTTTTGGGTGGGAAGGAAGATTGGTCCTGAGCTAACATCTGTTGCCAATCCTCCTCTTTTGCTTGAGGGAGATTGTCACTGAGCTAACATCTGTGCCAATCTTCTTCTATTTTGTATGTGGGATGCTGCCACAGAGTGGCTTGATGAGTGGTATGTAGGTCTACACCTGGGATCCGCACTGGCCAACCCCAGGCTGCTGAAGCAGAGCATGCGAACTTAACCACCATGCCACCGGGCTGGTCCCATAATAAAACTTTTTTTAAGAAACATCATTCTGAATTGGTATAATAACCTGGTATATAATTTTAAAGCCACAAAAGCATATATGTAAAAATTGTCTCTCTTCTACCCTTCGTCCTAGGCCCTCTTTAGCAGTTTCCTGTGTTTTCTCCAAGAGATATTCTGTGTATATATGAACAATGCTAAAAATGTTTGAAGTAGCATTTAAAATATAATTTAGTTTTAATTTGTATGAAAAGAAATTTTTGCTCTGTGGCACAGTGGTTGTAAAGTATCTGAACTTGGTAAAAGTTTTGTCCTTCATCCACTGAGTACATTTACACTCTTGGGGTCCTCTTCGCTGGTGACTCCTGGCTTATTTGGGCAGTTTAAAGCCAGTGCTGTATGCAGATGTGTACAGAGTGCATAGCAGATTGGAGAAATGAGTGTGTTTCTCAAGGGCAGTCTCTTTTCCTCATTACTTAGTACTTAAGACAAATTGGAGTCGTCAGGGGAAATGGGCTGGTGGAGCTTTGACAAACGGATCTGAATTGTTAGCTTTTTGCTCTTTGGTCTTGGGCAAAGATTTTGAGTTACTTTGTAATGTGTGCACAAAATCATGATAGGATGGCTAAGTGAGTAAATTCCTGTGCAAAATTGCCTTCCTTTTGTAGAACCTGGTGACAGGGACAAAGAGGGAAGCTGTGACTCTTAAATATGTAGACAAGCATGGCAGGCGAAGCTAGGGTTGGAAGAACATGCTAAAGTTAGGACTCTGCTCTCTTTGCCCTGGGTTAAAACATGGCCTCCCTTAGAGCCGCATAGTAACTGCCTCATTACTCTGTGTTGCAGGAGACTGAGTGTCCTCTACGGCTTGCCCTTTGCCAGCACTGTGATTTGGAACTTTCTGTTCTCAAACTGAAGGACCATGAAGATTACTGTGGTGCCCGGACAGAGTTATGTGGCACTTGTGGGCGCAATGTCCTGGTGAAAGATCTGAAGACTCACCCTGAAGTTTGTGGGAGAGATGAGGAGGAAAAGAAAGATGAGGCTGACGTGCCTCCTAACGCATATGATGAGTCTTGGGGTCAAGATGGCATCTGGATTGCATCCCAGCTCCTCAGACAAATCGAGGCTCTGGACCCACCCATGAGGCTACCCCGAAGGCCCCTGAGAGCGTTTGAATCAGACCTTTTCCGTAATAGGACTACCAGCCAAAGGAGCACGACAGCCCCGTTTCTAGTTCAGAATAATCTGTGTGAGTTGCATTTGGGATTAGAAAACTGGAATGATATCAAAATCTCAGGACAAATGGGAATAGGGCTTTGGGGCCAAATAGATTTTAATTATAGAAACCTGACTGTAGCTAGGTACGCTTAGGGAGAACACCTGGCTTTCCTGGAGATGGGAGTGACAGGACCTCTTTGCCAGTGGAGTACAGTTAGGGTTGGTGGTGATGACAACAGTGCTGTTCATAGCCAAAATTTACCCACTGTACCCTGTGTGCTTCAGGCATTTGTCCAGTGCTGACGTGTATTAGCTCATTTAGTTCTCACAACGGTCTTAGGGCAAGTAAGTAGCAGAGTTGGGGTTTGACTTCAGGCAGTCTGACCGCAGGCTTTAAACCTGCTATGTTGGAGAAAATATATGTAAAATGTTTAGCACAGTGCCTGTCTCATAGTTACAGCTCAATAATACTGCTTATTAATAAAACAATTAGAAGAATAATGGAGCCTTTGATCACGGCAGACTTAATATTTGGAGTCCTGTGAGAACTGTATGGCTGAGCTTCTTGTTCCTGCACAGATGCCTGTCAGCCTTGAATATTTGCCAGGCATGGACCTGAGCTGAGGGATGGCAACATCTCTAATATGTCTTGAGTACTGGTTGGTTTTTTTCCAGTGGAAGAACAAGAAAGGCAGGAAAGGAATAGAAGCCGACAGCCCCGCAAAGAGGTGGGGGAAGACAGTGCAGACTTGGACTTCATGTTGGCCCTAAGTCTGCAAAATGAAGGCCAGGCCCCCCGGGTGGCAGAGCAGGACTTCTGGAGGAGCATATGGGAGGCGGACCAGTCCCGTGGAGGTCCCAGTACCCTGAATGACATAAAAGGTAGGTTTGTTTCTTCCACACTACCCTCTCTCTGCAGTTTTTTAAGTCTTACACTATACAATTTATGTAAAATTGTAAGTTTTTCATGAGTTAATTTGCCTTTTTTGTTTGTTCCTTTGCTTTTGCCAACTTTTTATTTTTGAAAATTGTCAGAATCGTACAGTGAATATCTATCTTTGTACCCCTCGTCTGTATCACCAATTTTAGTACTTTGCATTTATCTTTATATATGTATTTTTCCACCCTGAACCATTTGAGAATAAGTTGCAGACATAACACTTTATCCCTAAATACTTCAGCATGTCTCTCTTAAGAACAAGGGCATTCTCCTTTGTAAACATGATGCGAATATCACTATCAGGAAATTTAACATAAGTTCCCTATTTGTACATAATGTCCTTTAGAACTTCTTTATTTTGTGTTCAAAATCCAGGATTATGCGTTAGGTTTACTTCTTTTTTGGGTTCCTTTACTTTAGTTCCCCATCCTCTTTTTTTTTCTTTTAGGACATTGGCACTTTTGAAGAGTCCGGGCCAGTTGTTTTGCAGACTATTTCTCAATTTAGATTTGTCTGGTGTTTAGATTCACATTACATTTTGGCAGGAATGCTGCATTGGTGGTGCCGTGTCCTCAGGATGTCAGTTTTTCCTATTATTCAGTAAAGTGGGGTCTGTCTCTTATCTCCCTTTATTATAGCTGGCTGCAGGATGTGTCTTGAGACTGCGGGGGAGCAGGATATGCACACTCTCTTATCCAGCAGTTTTAGTACACATTGACGTTTCTTGCTTGAATCAAGTATTACTATGGCAATTGTAAAATGGTGAATTTTCTGTTTCTATTTTTTGTCTTATATTTGTTGTCATTCTTCTATAAAAAACTTTGCTTCCCTCCCTGCCCCCATTTAAAAACAATTTTTTTTTAGTATTATTGGACTCACAGATAAAAACTAAATTTTTAAAAATGAAAGTTGAATTGTGAGCAGCACACCACCCTTTGGGTCTTTTGTTTAGAGAGCAGTATGTTTGAGAGATGCACGTCATGTTTAAAATGTTCAAGTTGTAAGAGATTGTACGGAAAATTAAGCAGCTCTCAGCCATGATTTTTCTTCATGCCACTATATGAACAGTAGGATTAACTCTTAACATGTTGTTGATTTAGATAAAATAGGAGTTGGTCCTGGACCCAAACATTGAAGTTGGGTCTTATGTGGCCTGGTTAAAGGAGGTAAATGGTAGAGTGTTAATAAAACTTGGATAGGTAATGACATGTTTTTCCTTTTTAAAAATTTTTATATTTTCTTAGGTATAATAAATTATACTGATTTGAAAAGTAGTAAATATATATGTGAAATATTTTGTTTCTACCATCTGTTCCAGACTGTGGTTGGTTAACGTGTAAATTCAAAGACTGCATAAGATGAGTCTGTGTCTCCATAAAGGGTTATGTCCCCACAGGCTGGAAAACTACTGTTTTAGTCTATATTTTCTTCCTTAAAAATAGTTCTTTTTAACCTCAAATGACACCTAACAGAACTAGAAAAAGAAGAACAAACAAAGCCCAGAGTCAGTAGAAGGAGGGAAATAATAAAAATGAGAGCAGAAATAAACGATATTGAAACAAAAAAGACAGTAGAAAGGATCAATGAAACAAAGAGTTGGTTCTTCGAAAAAATTAACAAAATCGACAAACCTTTAGCCAGACTCACCAAGAAAAGAAGAGAGAAATCTCAAATAAATAAAATTAGGAATGAGAGAGGAGAAATCACAACAGATACCATTGAAATACAAGGGATCATAAGAGAATACTATGAAAAACTATATGCCAACAAATTGAACAACCTGGAAGAAATGGACAACTTCCTAGACTCCTACAACCTCCCCAGACTGAATCAGGAAGAAATGGAGAATCTGAATAGGCCAATCACAAGTAAGGAAATAGAAACAGTAATCAAAAACCTCCCCAAAAATAAGAGTCCAGGACCAGACGGCTTCTCTGGAGAATTCTACCAAACATTCGAAGAAGACTTAATACCTATTCTTCTCAAACTATTCCAGAAAATTGAGGAAGATGGAGTACTCCCTAAGACATTCTATGAAGCCAACATCACTCTGATCCCCAAACCTGACAAGGACAACACAAAGAAGGAGAACTACAGGCCGATATCACTGATGAACATAGATGCAAAAATCCTCAACAAAATTCTGGCAAACCGAATACAGCAATACATCAAAAAGATTATACACCATGATCAAGTGGGATTTATACCAGGGACGCAGGGATGGTTCAACATCCGCAAGTCAATCAACGTGATACACTACATCAACAAAATGAAAAACAAAAACCACATGATCATCTCAATAGATGCAGGGAAAGCATTTGACAAGATCCAACACCCATTTACAATAAAAACCCTCAATAAAATGGGTACAGAAGGAAAGTACCTCAACATAATAAAGGCCATATATGACAAACCCACAGCCAACATCATACTCAATGGACAAAAACTGAAAGCCATCCCTCTGAGGACAGGAACAAGACAAGGGTGCCCACTTTCACCACTGCTATTCAACATAGTACTGGAGGTGTTGGCCAGATCAGTTCGGCAGGAAAAAGAAATAAAAGGAATCCAAATAGGTAATGAAGAAGTAAAACTCTCGCTGTTTGCAGACGACATGATCTTATATATAGAAAACCCCAAAGATTCCATAGAAAAACTATTAGAAATAATCAACAACTACAGCAAAGTAGTAAGGTATAAAATCAACATACATAAATCAGTAGCATTTCTATACACTAACAATGAACTAACAGAAAAAGAACTCAAGAACTCAATCCCATTCACAATCGCAACGAAAAGAATAAAATACCTTGGGATAAACTTAACCAAGGAAGTGAAGGATCTATACAATGAAAACTACAAGACTTTCTTGAAAGAAATTGACAACGACATAAAGAGATGGAAAGACATTCCATGCACATGGTTTGGAAGAATAAACATAGTTAAAATGTCCATACTACCTAAAGCAATCTACAGATTCAATGCTATCCCAATCAGAATCCCAAGAACATTCTTCACAGAAATTGAACAAAGAATCCTAAAATTCATATGGGGCAACAAAAGACCGCGAATTGCTAAAGCAATCCTGAGCAAGAAAAACAAAGCTGGCGGAATCACAATCCCCGATTTCAAAACATGCTACAAAGCTACAGTGATCAAAACAGCATGGTACTGGTACAAAAACAGGTCCATAGATCCATGGAACAGAATTGAAAGCCCAGAGATAAAACCACACATCTATGGACAGCTAATCGTCGACAAAGGAGCAGAGTAATATCCCATTACTGGGTATCTATCCTAAGAACCTGAAATCAGAAATCCCAAGAGTCCCTTGCACCCCTATGTTCATCACAGCATTATTTACAATAGCCAAGACGTGGAACCAACCTACATGCCCAGAAACTGATGATGGATAAAGAAGATATGGTATATATACACAATGGACTACTACTCAGCCATAAAAAAAGACAAAATTGGCCCATTCGCAGCAATGTGGAGGGACCTCGAGGGTATTATGTTAAGCGAAATAAGCTAGTCAGAGAAAGACGAACTCTATATGACTCCACTCGTAGGTGGAAGTTAGCATATTGACAAGGAGATCTGATCGGTGGTTACCAGGGAAAAGGGGGGTTGGGGGGAGGGCACAAAGGGGGAAGAGGTGTACCCACAACATGACTAACAAAAACGTACAACTGAAATCTCACAAGGTTGTAATCTATCATAACATTAATTAAAAAAATAATAATAATTCTTTTTATATGTAGAGGGTTTTTAGAAATAGATAATTTGCATATCTAATAAAAATGCGCATAGTGGCATAGTGGTTAAGTTTGCATATTCCACTTTGGCGGCCCGTGGTTCGTGGGTTCACATCCCAGGCGCGGACCTACACATTGTGGCTCATCGAGCCACGCTGTGGCGGCATCCCACATACGAAATAGAGCAGGATTGGCACAGGTGTTAGTTCAGGGCCGGTCTTCCTCACACACAAAAAAATTGCATACACATTAAATGGGTGCATTGTATGTGAATTATATCCCAATAAAGGTGTTAAAAAAAACAGGTAAAAGTCATAAAAAAAGAAGACTGTAAAAGAGTGTAAAAGGAAATATAAGTCTCCTTCTCACCCACTGATAACAGTCTCCTAGTTCTCCGCAGAGGTCATCATTTCCAGCAGGTTCTTAGGTAGCCTTATATTCTTTGTATATAAAAGGATGTGAGTGTATAATACAATGGGATTGTTTAAAAGCTGGTTTTATTAGGGAGACTTCCTGAATTTTTGGGAGCAGATCAAGGCTTTTCAGTATTTGGCTTAGGATTCGTTTCCATTTCTAAAGTTGGCAACCCTTTATGGGATGTTGATATTCAGGTTCTCCCTTTTGTTACCTTTGATCTATTCTGTTTTTTCAGCTAATAGTTGCTGCTTCTTTCCCTGAGGAAAATGCCTTAGTCCCAAAGAAAGTCTTTTCCAAACTCTGAGCAGCATCGTTTTTTTTTTTTTTTAAGATTTTATTTTTTTCCTTTTTCTCCCCAAAGCCACCTGGTACATAGTTGTATATTCTTAGTTGTGGGTCCTTCTAGCTGTGGCATGTGGGACACCGCCTCAGCGTGGCCTGATGAGTGGTACCATGTCCGTGCCCAGGATTCGAACCAACGAAACTCTGGGCCACCTGCAGTGGAACCTGCGAACTTAACCACTCGGCCACGGGGCCAGCCCCTGAACAGCATCTTTTAACGTGAGTCTCCTTATCAACCTTTCAGACTTCACTGTCATCAGAGCATTTTCGATGTGTGCTGAAGAAAGTAAAATTATAATAGCATAGTAATCACAAGTGAAGATTCTGGATTCAATGTAGTTTCCTTTATTTTCTCTTTTCTTGGTCATTTCTTAGATACCTATATTGACTTTTGTTTGTTTGCTATTTCATTCCGTTTTTCCTCTCTCTTGATTTGGAATTGATATTCTCTGTCTCTATTCTTGTAGTGATTGCTCTGGAAATTTTAACATATAACTTAACAAAGAGTAAATTTGATCACCCTTGTCACGCTTCTCCCAATTAATACAATACCCTTAGAATTCAGATCATCCTTTTATGACTTAATTGCTACTCTGTGTGTTAATATTCTTTCTTCTTTTTTTTTTTAACACCATGATAAAGACATTTCTTATATACTCATTGTATTTATTATTTTATTTACTATGTGTTTACCATTTTCTTTGCTTACCCATTCTTCCTTGTTTCTCAGAACTTCCTTCTAGGTTAAATTTCTTCCTGAGGTACATTCTTTAGAAATTCTGTTGAAAGTGTCTGTTGATTGTAAATTGTCTATTTTGGTTTGTCTGAAAATATCTTTATTTTGTCTTCGTATTTGATAGTTTCTCTGGTCATACAATTTTAGATTACCAATTATTTTGTCTTAGTTGTTTTTTTTTCGGGGGGGGCTGAAGATTGACTCTGAGCTAAAACATCTCTTGCCAGTCTTCCTCTTTTTTTTCCCCCTCCTCAAAGCTCCAGCACATAGTCATATGTCCTAGTTGTAAGTCATTCTAGTTTTTCCATGTGGGATGCTGCCACAGCATGGCTTGATGAGTGGTGCATAGGTCTGTGCCCAGGATACGAAGCAGCGAACCCTGGGCTGCTGAAGCAGAGTTTGTGAACTTAGCCACTCGGCCACAGGGCCAGCCCCAACTCAAATTACTTTTTTTTTTTTTTAAAGATTTTTATTTTTCCTTTGTCTCCCAAAGCCCCCTTGTACATAGTTGTATATTTTTAGTTGTGGGTCCTTCTAGTTGAAGCATGCGGGACACTGCCTCAGCATGGCTTGATGAGCAGTGCCATGTTTGCACCCAGGATCTGAACCGGCAAAACCCTGGGCCACCAAAGCAGAGCGCATGAACTTAACCACTCGGCCGTGGTGCCGGCCCCTCAAATTATTTTTGTTTGGCATTGTTTTTGCTATTTTGTACTAGGAGAGTTTCTTCTGATATTTGTCTGCTAGTAGTGTCCTTCATCTGTAAAATGAGGCTAATGTAGGATCTACTTCATTAAGTTTTTTCTGAGGATTAGTGCCTAGTTATTACACAATTAAATTCCTTCCTTCATTAGAGCAGTGGGTAAGCTACTACTTGACTGCTATTCAGGAAATAGTGATGAGTAAATCTCTTTCTATAGTGGAAGTTTTTTCCTAGAGTTTGTCTCTTAGATGGTTTCCCTTTGAGGATTTACAGCCCCGCTAATTGCTACATCAAGGAATGTCAAAGGAAGCCATGCTTTTATATAAGACCCCACAAGGGGGATAAAAGATTGAATCAGGTTTGTTCTTGTTCATTTTGAGTCTGACTGTGTGGCCTGATACCTAGGTGCAGCTGACGACACCATGTTGCCTTGTGAATTTTGTGAGGAGCTCTACCCAGAGGAGCTGCTGATTGACCATCAGGTGTGTTGTGAATTCCCTGAGGGCTTTCAGTAGGAATGTGTGCAGGGCGTAGCTGGTGTTGCAGGCCAAGGAGGTCTCGAGCAGACTGTTGTGTACAATGCCTGTGGTAGGAGCAGCAGCTGTGTCCTTTCCCATGGTGTGACTGCCATCTGGGTATGAGAGCTCAGCCTTGTCCCCTCTTGAAAAAAGTAATGTCTATTTCAGCAGGCCCAGTTGCTTCCATGCCGTGGTGACCAGTGTACATGTCTGCTGACCACCTTGTAGTCTAGTCTCGTCTCATGCCACAGTTTGATTTATTGGAGCCATGCTGAAGTCCTTGCAGTTCCCTGCAAGGGTCAGGGGTCATTTTTGCACTTTACTTTTTCTGCCTAGAAGGTGTGTGGCCTTCCACAGCCGCCTCCTCAATGTACCCAACAACACAGAGCCCTTCCTTGTAGACTTGCTTCAGATGTGACTTTGAGGAAACCATGCTGAGGGACGCTCTGAAGCCTCGGTCAGGGGTCTCACCCCTGTGCTCCCCGCAAGTCCTGTGCCCACTTCTCTGTTAGCCCATCACCCTGGCAGGTGGCTCCTGACCCCCTGTTGGTCTGCACCACTAGGCTGAGTTCCTTGAGGACATCTTCTGGGTTTTCCTAGTTTCTGAATCTCTCAATACCTGGCACGTGAAAGGTGTCCAATATTTTTTGAGTGATTGAATGTTCTTGAGCCATTTAGGAATGATTCGAGAATAGCCTTGGTGTTTGAAAATTACTGGTGGAGGGGACCAGTTCTTCAACAAACACTCTTGCTTTCTCTGATTTGGTTTGGCCTAGTCTGGTATTTCCATAACTGAAGTAGTCCCTGTGCTCTGGGTGGAACATACATTCTCCCCATAAGTGGAATAATACGGTATTGAATACATCTGCTTTTTGGTTTGGGAGCAGCATAAGAAAATCCATTAGCAGGGAGAACAAAGAATATTTGGGCCTCTGTTACTGTATGGCTGTGGGAAGAATGTTGAATCTTTTCAAATTAACTTAGAATAATCACATGAACACAGTAAAAAAGGAAAAGCACAGAAATGTTTAAAATAAAAGTAAAATGTTCTATCTGCATTCCCCTGACCTTTTTTAGTCCCTCTCCCTGATATTAAGCATTATTAAAATTTTATGACTTCTAGACAATGTTTTAGGAATGTAGTTTTTTTCTTAACCTCTGCTTTTTTTTTTTTTTAACCTGTTTTTTGAGACAGACAAGCTGTAACCCTTCATGTGCCTTACCTTCACTCAATGTGGGCAGCCCTTCCCCTAAAGGGGTGGAGGACCCTGATGTCATCTTCCAGAAATATCTGCAGCAGGCTGCAAGTAACCAGTTAGACTCTTTGATGGGCCTAAGCAGTTCACCCCCTGTGGAGGACAGCATCATCATCCCATGTGAATTTTGCGGGGTACAGCTAGAAGAGGAGGTGCTATTCCATCACCAGGTACGAGTCCCTGGAGGACCCATCCATTTCACTCCGTGTGGATCCTCTGAATGAACCTGAGGCTGGAGCTGAGAACATCTTTAGCCTTTAAGTTGCGTGCACACCTGACCTGGCTACTGGCCATGAGCTGTTTTGTGAGCTGTCTGAGGTATATGGTCCCTCAGGCTTTCAACTAAAACCATCATGTCAGTAGCTGAGGACCAAGGAACCAGGACTCCATTTAAGCAGGCACGGAGGTTTGCCAGAAAGGTTTAGATGAGAGTTTCCCTGAGGCCACTGACGCATTCTGCCTTTGACCAGGTGGGTTCTTCCATTGTGGTGGCTTTTGAGTGTGGCATTGCAGGAGAGCTGGGTTTGCCCTTATGGTTGACGTTGGAAAGATCCCGTGTTCTCACTGGGGACGTCTGTAAATGAAGGAGTTAGACTAGACAATCGGAAGTCATTTTTCAGCTTTTGCAGTCTAGGATTCCAACTGTTAGTGAAAATAGCTTTTCTGCCCTATCTTGTTTGTTATGGGGAGCTGACACTGCATGTATTGTCAGGTCATTTCTGTAGTTGATGCCATGTAGCTGTTGCTAGAACACCGCACATTAATTTCTGAAGTACAGATTTCTGCTTCTGGATCAAGCAGTAGATAAGTAACTGCTTGTTAGGGGAGACTATGAAATAAGCAGTCATGAGATACCCTAGTCCAAGTATTGACATGATTTTCTGGGCTCCAAGACCAGCCCTGCCTTCGTCCCTGCACAAACCAGAGAGTGCTTCTGCTAGTGCCTTGGCTGCTCGTGTGAGTGGCGGCTCCATTCCAGATGTGCTTCTTCTTGGTCCCAGGCCCTTCCTCTCAGTGGGGTCAAAGTCATCCCACCCCCTGCCCCTCAGAGAAGGTGCGTGTCCAACCTGCTGTTCCTTCCTTTCCTCCCACTGCTCCCTCCTAGGAATGACTCAGTTCAGAGGTACTAATTCTGGCTTTTTTTTTGTTAGGACCAGTGTGACCAACGCCCAGCCACAGCAAACAACCATGTGACAGAAGGGATTCCTAGACAGGATTTCCAGCCTCGAGAGACCTCACCAGAGCTGCCCAAGAGGCGTGTCAGACACCAGGGTATTAACAGGGCTGAGCCGAGGCCGCAGGTCTGCTGCTGGCTCAAGCCTGCCTCTCACTTCTCAGCTGTTGCTCTAACATGGGGTTACCTGGTCCTGAATTAGCAGGCGCAGTGGGGTCTCACTGGGGACTCCCTTGCCGCTAGTGGTGGTCCCATGTGAGACTGAGCTGTTTCGAGTGTAGGTTTATAGGGTAATGGCTTTGGGGACAGCCAGGAGACATGCTTAGTAGTCAGTGCTTGTTCAGCTGGCATCTCCTGTCTGTGCACTTACTCGATTATTCGAAGATGATTTTCAGGCCTAACTGTGGCTGCCCTGGGTCCCTGCTTCTACTTGAAATATGCTTAGGTTACTCAAATTTACTAGTAGTAAATTAAACTTATTAACTTATTAAACTTATATAATTATATAAACTTATATAATTAAACTTATTATTAAACTTACTAGTAGTAGTGGTATTTAAGAGCCTTGTTACTAGGCAAGTAGGCTGTGTTTTTGTTTTTTTGCATATGCACCCTTTTTTTTTTAAAGATTTTATTTTTTTCCTTTTTTCTCCCCAAAGCCCCCCAGTACGTAGTTGTATATTTTTCGTTGTGGGTGCTTCTAGTTGTGGCATGTGGGATGCTGCCTCAGCGTGGTTTGATGAGCAGTGCCATGTCTGCGCCCAGGATTCGAACCAATGAAACACTGGGCCGCCTGCAGCGGAGCGCACGAACTTAACCACTCGGCCACGGGGCCAGCCCCAAGTAGGCTGTTTTTGAAACCTGACCACTACAAAGCCAGTTAGATATTATTTTTCAAAGTTTGCTTGCCTGTCGTCGTTGAGTGTTAGGAGGCTGTTTCTGAGGACCCAGGTGGTAAGTGTACAGTGTGGACAAAGTGTTCCTAACCTTGTCTTGGAGACGAGAGTTTCAGCAGCTGTTAGGGGCGAGGCAGTTGTTTTCTACCCAGAATCTTTTTGTTCTGCCCCGAATCCAGCACTAAGAGCAAGAGCAGGCTTCTCCCTAAAGCTGGTGCTCTTTTCTGTTCTCAGGAGACCTATCCTCGGGTTACATGGATGATATCAAGCAGGAAACGGCTAACGGGCCCGCCTACCCTCTTCCCCCCAGCAGACCCATTAACAATATGACGGCTGTGTGTAACCGACTATCAACATCCGCCTCCGGCTCCAGGCCTGGGTGCCAGCCCAGCCCGCCTCGTGTACTGAAGCTCAATAACTTAGACAGCCAGGACATCCGGGGGCGGAATCGAAACAGCCAGAATGGGGCCATGGCCACTGGGCATATTCCAGTGATGCGCTCTGTTCGAAATCTCTACCCAGAAACCCTTGTGCCCCCGTTCCCCCGTGGGCCTTCGGGGAGATACGGAGCAAGGTGAGGATCAGTCGGAGTGGAGCTTGGGAGTGAGTAGCTCAGGAGAACATGCAAGTGTGGACTTTGCTTGTGTTGTGGCCTGATTCTAGAATGTTCTTTTGCTGTTGGTGGAGGTTTTGTTTGTTTGGTTTGCTAGCAGGGAGCTGCTTTTGTCTGATTCCAGCTGTTTCTGTTCTCCCTGAATTTTCTGACTTTTGCTCAGGAGCGTCTCAGGAACGAGTTTCCAATCCTTCTCTTTCAGTGGGAGGAGTGAAGGTGGCAGGAACTCCCGGGTCACCCCCGCAACCGCCAGCTGCCGCAGCAGAACTGCAAAGGTAACCAGGGATGCAGCCCTTATGCTCAGTGAGGGCTTGCAAGTGATGGGGCTGCTGTGGTTCTTGAAGTCAGGGAAGGAGCTGGGCTTCGGGCTGACTGTGGCTGAAGGACTGTTCTTTTGGCTTTTGATGAGGAGTTTTCTATAGAAGGTTGACGTTTTCAGGGCTCTCAAGGAGGAGTACTGCTTTTTCACTTTCTTTTTTTTCCCCTAAAGATTGGCACCAGATCTAACATCGTTGCCAGTCTTCCTTTTTTTTTTTTCTTCTTCTTCTTCTTCCTCTTCTTCTCCCCAAAGCCCCCCAGTACACAGTTGTATATTCTAGTTCTGGCATGTGGGACGCCGCCTCCGCGTGGCCTGATGAGCGGTGCCATGTCTGCGCCCAGGATCCGAACCTGCGAATCCCTGGGCCCCTGAAGTGGAGCGCGCGAACTTAACCACTCAGCCAAGGGCTGGCCCCCTTTTTCACTTTGTACATAAACTTTGTATTCTATTTTTCAACAGGCAAAAACTCCCAAGCAGCAAGGAGCTGGGGATGCCGAGGAGGAAGAGGAGGAGTAATGGTGTCTGTGGAGAGGCCGCGCGTTGGCTCCATCTCTGCACAGCAGCACTTGCCACGGTGCGGGCCCTGCCCCCGGCTCTCTGGGCAGGGGAGACTTACAGATTTTAACTTTTTCTAGGTTGCGGCCATTTTGTGTCTTTCGAGACTGTGCTGTGGGAGTTTGGGGGTTTGAGGGAGGGTTAACAGAGAGGCTGTTGAGAAATATTTCAGCTTTAGCTGCTGGCTTTTAGCAGCACAGAATACAAGCCGTGGCCTCTCGGCCCACCAGGGCTCCATCTTTTGACGTACTGTCACCACTGCTGCTTGGTGCTGTGTGGTCCTGGTGGAGGAGAGAGTTCTGGAAACGTGGTACTAACCAGTGAAGTGCTTCTTTTCCCTGTGGGGGCCTAAATTTGGAAACTTTTGGGTAAGCTCTCGTGCGTCCTGTCTCCGTACTCGAGCGTTTGGGCCTCTGTTGTGTGGAGGAGCTCTGATGGCGCTCAGGACAGACTCAGGAGCGGGCGTTTGCAGATGCGTGGAGCTGGAGCCGAGTGGCCTGGGGCTTTGATTTAATCTCTGCTTTGGCGTGTGGCTTCACTGCCTTGTTTCTGGTGGAGCGCGGGCTCCAGCGTCTTCACTGCGTCCTGTGGAGAAGGCCGGGCGCCCTGTCCCTGCCAGGGCCATGCTGGGCTCTGCCCTGCTCAGGACAGGGGCTTACCCTCCATGGCTTGCTCTGAAAACCAAATATCAGAGCCTCTCCCCCTCTTTTTATTTTACTATTATTATTATAATTAATAACATCCTTGTAATAGAAATAAAGTTTGTACTTGGAGTTCAGCTGAGTTTTTCAGTTCCTTCTCCTGTGTGCTCAGTGGAGACCTCAGGGAGGCCAGGGCGGCCAGAGTCAGCTCGGAGGTCTGGGGGACGGTGAGCAGGACTAGGCTTTCTCTGGGCCTCCTGGGTCCCTGGCAGATCCCGTGTGAGCTCCTTCTCAGAGGAGGCCAGACCTTCCAAGTCTCTCCAGTTTTCTCTTGTGTTGGACCAAAGGGAACTGACAGGTTGCTGAGCTCTGGTGAGGATTTGGGTTGGGGTCGGGGCTGCCTCTGACTGAATAGAGAGAAGCAGATTCCGCAAACGCCTGAATCCTGAAAGGAGTGGAGCCTTAGCAGAATTATCCATTGCCCCTCAGCACCTCCATCTGCATGGGACCATCTGGCATTTTAGGTCATTTTAAGCTCATCTGTTTTTTTCCCAATGACCTAGTGGGGGTAGGAAAGGGGGGAAGAATTGTCCCATTTCATAGGTGGAAAGGAGTGACTTGTATAGAGTTATGCAGCCAATTTGTGGCAGAGCCAGGACTCAAATCTGGGTCTGAATTATACACAGAAAAAAGCTGGGCCAAATAAAGAATATATTCTGTGCTGTGGGGTTAGTCACTTGATTGTATGTCAGTTAAACCTCAGTAAAAATCACCAGAGTCATAAAGACCTTCATGTTTCTGGTGGCAAAGGCGCCAGAAGGATGGAGACTTGTGCTGCTTCTGGCATCATCCAAATCTCCCTGGGACTTCAGGAGGTGGGTGGAGGGACCCTCTCCCCAGCTGGGCGGACAATAGTCACGCGGCCCATCACTGTGGTTCTGGGGCAGGCGGGGGGTGTGGGGGGGACACGCGGGGAGAGACCTGACAGAAAGGAAAGCTTTCCCCACTCCCTTTGGTTGGATTAGACATTGAGTAAAATAGCAGTGGGTTTTTTGGCTTTACTTTTTATTTTATTTTTTTAGTAATCTGTAGTTTCTAAATGTTTTATAATGGATTTACTTTTTGGAATTTTTTTTAAAACATTGTATGCAACTAAAATAAGTACAGCTTTTTAAAAAAGACTAAAGAAATAATTCCTTATCCTCTTTCTCCCAAAATTCTCTCCCAAAAGTTGACTGCTTTGTTTTTTAAGCCGTTTCTCCTAATTCACTGCCATATTTCCAAATATGGCATTTGACAAGGTTGCTCTTTTTAATTATTATCACATTTGCTTCAACGTTCTATCTGTAATTTTTTTCATGAACTATTTGAGAGGGAGTGGCAGACATGGTGCCCTCAACCCCAAATGCTTCCGTGTATGTTTCCTAAGAAGGACGTTCTTTTAATTTAACCACAGGACAGTAATCAGGAAACTAATATCGAGACAATACTATTAGCTAATTTACAAACCTTATTCAGATTTTACCAATACCAAATTTGTCCCAGTAATGACCTTGTAACAAAAGCATTTAGTTTTGGCCCAAGATCATGTGTCACATTTAATTATTATCTTTTTAGCCTCCTTTAATCTGGAACAGTTCTCAGATTTGTACGTTTTTCAGCAGTATAGGCAGTTATTTTGTAAGATGTTCCTTAATTTAGGTTTGTCTGATGTTTTCTGACGATTAGATTCAGGTTATTTAATTAATTTATTTATTTTTTAAGATTTTATTTTTCCTTTTTCTCCCCAAAGCCCCCTGGTACATCGTTGTATATTCTAGTTGTAGGTCCTTCTAGTTGTGGCACATGGGACACTGCCTCAGTGTGGCCTGACGAGCGGTGTCATGTCCGCGCCCAGGCTCCGAACCGGCGAAACCCTGGGCCGCTGCAGCGGAGCGTGCGAACTTAACCACTCGGCCACGGGGCTGGCCCCATAGATTCAGGTTATGCAGTTTTGGTAGGAATACCAAAAATGGCGTCTCCTCAGTGTGTCATATCATGCACGGCCACGTGATGTCAGTTTGTCCTGTTATTAGTGAGAACTTTGATCACTTGGTTAAGACCATCTGCCGGGTTTTGCTACTGTAAAGTTACTATTATTCCCTTTTTAATTACTAAGTACTTTGTGGGGAGATATTTTGAGACTATAATATCCTGTTCCTCATCAAACCATCACTGACTAGTCTTCGCATCCAAGGTGATTCTTGCCTGAATTATCACTTTTCAAATGGTGATTTTCTGACTATCATTCTTTCTACATTTTAGTGGGCATTCTACTTTAAGGAAGATCTGTTTCGGGGCCGGCCCGGTGGCACAGCAGTTAAGTTTGCACGTTCCGCTTCTTGGCAGCCTGGGGTTCACCGGTTCGGATCCCAGGTGCAGACATAGCACTGCTTGGCAAGCCATGCTGTGGCAGGCGTCCCACATATAAGATGGGCATGGATGTCAGCTCAGGGCCAGTCTTCCTCAGCAAAAAGAGGATTGGCAGCAGTTAGCTCAGGGCTGATCTTCCTCAAAAAAAAAAAAGGAAGAGCTGTTCTTTCTCCCTAGTTTATTCGTTCATTTATATAAAAACGGATTCTTCTTCAACTTTTTATAATCCCTCTCTGTCATTTCTTCTGATGCTCAAATATGCAGGCATGTGCTGCGTAAGACATTTTGGTCAACGATGGGCAGCATATACGATGGAGGTCCCATAAGATCAGTGCCATATAGCCTAGGTGTAAGTATGCGCTACCATTTAGGTTTGCGTAAGTGTCCTCTTTGATGTTGGCACAACAAAATCGCCGGACAACGCATTTCTCAGAACGTATCCCTGCTGTCATGCAGCCCATGCCTGTATTAATTTTGATGGCCAGATTTGGCTAGCTGGTTCCTGTGTCTTTTTAGCATGTCCAGCTGTTCCTTGAGCACGTCCTTACTTTCTGGCACAAGATATTCCAGGTTCATATTGTATTTTTCCTGCTTCAGCCCTAGAATTGGTCATTTTGTTTAGAAACCCTGAATCCTTTTGGGGAGAACAGTATTTAAAAGCCAAGATCTGGGTGCTTGGTGTGTGCATTGTTACTATGGAGGGGCAGGGGATTATTGCTTCCAGATCCTGTCAGCAGAGCTAGGAAATATGTTACATGTGTGTCTGTGTATATATGTAATACGTATGTGTGTTATATGCGTATTTTCATATCTGTATATGCCACCATGAGTTCCTAACAGGACATCCAATTTCAGTCCATCACTACAGGGTTTATTCTGTCCTTTGCCTTCAACGATGACAAATCTGACTCCCACTATTCTCAATATATTTACTTTTTTGCTTGATCCTAAAATGCAGAGAAAGTAGTTTCAGAATTGCTAACCCTTACCACTGCAGAAAACCTACTAATGAGTTAAATATTTGTTAACAGCTCTTTTTGACTTTATAATGAGGGTATATAGTCAAAATAATGTGTTCAAGGGACCACCCCTGTGGCCTAGTGATTAAGTTTGGCGCGCTCTGCTTCAGTGGCCCGGTTCGCGGGTTTGGATCCTGGTTGTGGACCTACACACACCACTTGTCAGCCATGCTGTGACAGTGTCCCACGTATAAAGTGGAGGAAGATTGGCACAGATGTTAGCTCAGGGGGGGTCTTCCCCAGCAAACAAATAAATAAATGTGTTCAAAATTTGAGTTAGTTTTCTTTCCCGCGTCCTTCAGTGTGGTTAGGTTATTCATTTGAAATACATTTATGTTAATTTGTTTTTGTTTATATTCCACCTTAGGGTTTTCTTTTCCACCTAGACTTGGTTGTATTTTGCAGTATATACAATATTAATATGGTTCCAAGTTAAAACTAAGAAAAGGTGTACTCCGAAGGGTCATTAGCCCTTATGCCTTCCATCCCCACTCAACATCTCCATCCTTTATTCCAAAACATGCCTCTTATTTCTTCTTTCTTTTCAATGAGGAAGATTGGCCCTCAGCTAACATGTGTGCCAATCTTCCTCTATTCTGTATGTGGGATGCTGCCACGGCATGGCTTGATAAGCAGGGTGTAGGTCTATACTCAGGATCTGAACCCATGAATCTCAGGCTACCAAAGTGGAGTGCATGAAGTTAACCACTACACCACTGGCTGGCCCCTCCTCTTGTTTCTTTTTGCCAAAATAACCAAATACATGTGTAGTTTCTTATTTCCTTTTCTTACACCAGAGGTAGCATACTATAAATACTCTTGAACTTTGCTTTTCTCACTTAATAGCATATTTTCAAAATCAGTCCATTGTGTGTATATATATATGTGTGAATTATATCTCGGTTAAAAACCACTGCATTGTGTGGATGTCCTATGGTTTATTCACCCATTCTCTTATGTATGTTGTTTCCAATATCTTATGATTGAAAATAATGTTGCAGTGAAGAAATTTGTGTTTCCTTATTTGTGGTAAGCAGAATTCTAAGTTGGCCCTGAGAATTCCTGCCTCCTGGTGTACACGCTCTCTATAATTCCTTCCCCTTTGAGTGTGGGCAGGACTATGAATATGGTGGATTTCACTCTCATTATTAGGTTATGTTATATGACAAAGCAGAAGGGATTCTGCAGTTGTAAGTAAAGTCTCAAGTCAATTGGCTATGAGTGAGTAACGAGGGAGACTATCCTGAGTGGGCCTGAGCTAATCAGGTGAACCCTTGAAAGGGCCTGGGAGAAACAGACCAATTCCTTGAAAACCACAAACTACCAAATCTCACCCATGAAGAAGTATGATCCTTTTATCAGTTTTAAGAGACACGGTGTTATACAGGTTATCCATTTCTTCTTGAGGGAGCTTTGGTGGTTTGTTTTTCAAGCAGTTTGCCCATTTCTGTAAGTTTTTTAATTTATTGGCATAAAAGTGTTCATAATAGTCCCTTATTATTTTAAAAGTATCTGTAAGATCTGTAGTGATGTCACCTCTCTCATTCCTGATGTTGATAATTTGTGTCTTTCCTCTTTTCCTGATCTGTTTGGCTAGAGCAGGATCCCCAAACATTTTCTATTGAAGTTCAAATAGAGTAAAATATTTAAGGCTTTGCAGGCCATATGGTCTCTATTGCTAAACTACTCAACAATGCTGTTACAGA